AATAGCAGAGTCATATGAGATAAGTCATATCCTCACATATCCTGGTCTTGGCCATTTAAGGACAAAACCATTTCAGAAACAAAATATTTTTTTGGGGGGGGGGGCAGATTTATGTAACGTTCTCAAGGAAGCAGTTGCTGCATTCTGGTACAGACCAGCTGTGTTTTTTTTTAAAGCACAGTACATTACAATAAATTAAGAAATCACCAGGGTAAGAATTCCATGGCAAAGGCCTTGTTACTCATATAGGAGTACAACTGGAGTATCAACCAAAGCTGGTGAAAAGTACTTATGGCCACAACTGCTACATGGGACTAAAGGACTGGGAATGTCTGTCCCACATCCGAAACTCTGAAGAGCTGCTACCAGGGACATACAGTGGTACCTCGGGTTACATACGCTTCAGGTTACATACGCTTCAGGTCACAGACTCCGCTAACCCACAAATAGTACCTCGGGTTAAGAACTTTGCTTCAGGATGAGAACAGAAATCGTGCTCCGGCGGCACGGTGGCAGCGGGAGGCCCCATTAGCTGAAGTGGTGCTTCAGCTTAAGAACAGTTTCAGGTTAAGAACGGACCTCCAGAACGGATTAAGTACTTAACCCGAGGTACCACTGTATTTTGATTTTTTAATAAGTGCTGTGTGTGCCCTCTCATCTAGCCACTTAGCACAAACCCATCTCCACCTCCCATATGCCTATCTAGTCCACCTCCTCACACTGAAAGTAAACCAGTGGTGGGGGCAGGGCAATATTGAGCCTGCAATAATCCTCAGTGTGTAGTCTGTTCTCATAATGGGATGGACCCAGATTCAGTTAGAACCTACTGAAATCAAGGTGAAGAGGTTCAATGGGACCTAAGTGTGACCAACCCATAGTCTTTTATAATTACCGTATGCTGTGGCCACTGAGAGGACCAAGGTGGACATGGCACAGTTCTATTACATTCATTACTAACTCTATAAGCCATTTGAATACTTTTGCAAAAGGGCAACTAAGAAGCTCAAAGGTAAACAAAGACCAATCAATATCATGGCTCCCTGCCTGTAGTATAAGATGGTGTTTGGTTGGACAGAGAGTTTAAAATTCCAACAGAAATTAGCATAGGTCAGGAGGAGGAAAGGAAACTATTGGGATCCCCTGCTGGAGCTTATAAAATGTATCAGGCTTACCAAGTGAAGTTAGGGACATGGGTCAGAGGCATTAAAAGGTCAATTCCAGTGTTTATAAGTGCAAGCAGCAAGCAGGAGGCAGCCTACTCCCCTCTGTTTGCTATGGGCCCACAGAATATGCTAAAGTCTTTGCCACAAGTCATCTTTGTTTGAGAAAAGGTTACGATGCTTCTCCGTTTCCCTGCTTGATATGGCTTGACTGCCCTGATTGCTCATGAAGGTCTTCTTTGTTAAGGCAATGAACCAGGAAGGAGGAAGCAAAACCAATGCTAATATAAGCCACAATAGCAATAGCTGACATTTTTAAGATGACAGATACAGTGTATGAATCCGTTGGCACAGATGGACAAAAAATAAAAGTTGGACCATTCCATAGCCCTCATGCACTGATATATTTTGTTTCCTAAGGGAAAAAGATTCTGTTGAACCACCCAGGGTCAAGGTTTCCACTTGCCCCCCTGCCTCTCCTCACAACTGGGACCCTTATTAGGAGGAGCTACTACTTGCGGGGTTTATTTCTGACCTCTCTGACATTTTTGGGAGGGGACATTTAGAGATGGATGTACAGTATATGGTTCTTATTTCTTTTTCCCTTTTTTTTAAAAAAGTAGGATTTTGTTGCTTTAAATTTTTGCATGTTGCACTTTGTTCCTTGAATTTTGTTTTTGTGTCAAGAAATGGGTGAATATGTGACTTTCTTGTTTTGCCAAATTCAGTTCTCCACATTTTGACACCAGTTTGCCTTTTTTTAAAGTCCTCATGAAAATTCATCAGCATTTTAGTCTGGATTTCTCCTAATATTTATTTACCTTTTCCTCCTAATTTCTGCCAAGATACAGATTTTTGTATGCAATTTTGCCTAACATACTTATTTTTGCAGTGTAATTTTCCTGAATATAATGCATGTTTGTATACTATTTTATTTACAAATATATTCGCACTTCACCTTAGTATATGTATTTTTGTACACATTCCGTGGCTAGTATTGCAAAATTCAGAGAAGCGCCAGAGCAGCATGGGGGCTTGGTCTGCTGAGGCACCAAGAGGCTTCTTCCCTGTGTCTCAGCTGTGCCAGTCCACCAAGCAGCCCTGCTTTTCCAGCTCGTGTGCACAAGCAGGAGAGACAAGGCGGCTTGAAGAGCTGACATGCAGGGACGCTTCTTCCTGTGTACCAGCTAGGAAAGAGGCAGGAGGTTGAAGAGCCTCAGCACAACCCTGCTGCACCTCTGGCTCGCAAGGAGACCCTTTCTGGAGGATGTCTGCTCCAGGTTCTGGGGAGGGTCTCCTCATGAGCCAGAGGCACAATGGGGTTTTGTTGAGGCTGGTCAGGTCTCTCCCCCCGCTTCTGGGGGCCCCTGAGAGGTGCTGGAACACAATCCCTACGCGTTCCAGCTGAAAAAATCCTGGTTAAGACCATAGAGTAAGTTGCCAGGCTTAGCTAGGCCTGGTTATCAAACTCTTTGTTCTTCCATTCCACCATGTGAACTCCTACAAATAAGGAGGTCTGGGCTGGTTGCTCCAAGCTCAGACCATGTGGCTTACGCAAGTCATCCTTGTGTTTATGTTTATTATTAATTAAATTAGTATACTGCCCTTCATCTGAAGACCTTAGAGCAGTTGACAATTATTCTATACAAATAATTTAGAAGCATTCACCACTTTGGAACCTAATTTTACTGCCTGTGTTTTCTGACTGCTATATGAAAAAGCACATGAATCTGACCTTTGAAGAGTTTGTAAGTAAATTTTTAACTTACCAAATGTGCTCATTTTCTATGCTAAGGGAAGTGGAGATCTTTGGAAGCAACTTAGAGAGGGAAACTTTTAAAGCTCTAATAGCCTATATTTCCATGCTTTACTTTGCTACACATTTTGTGATTTTAAATCTCTGCTGGAGTTCTCCCACCAAAGAGTTCTTGCCCCAACCTGGACCTCGTTTTTAATCCAATTTTTCCTTTAACCAACCAAAACACCAACAAATATTAGGCTTTAGTTTGTAGGTAAGTAGGCTCCAGAGCTTTACATTATTTTAGAATTAATAGTGAAAATAAGAAGGTATCAATTCTGGCTCAAAAACCTGTTACAATATTTCTTTATTTTATTTAAAGAATTTATAAACCACCACCCACCATTCAAAAACATTGCAGCAATGTACAGTACACAAATAAATACAAAAGACAAAGTTAAAACAGTACTTTGTTTTTTATATTGTGTGACATCTTAAAAAGTGTATAGTGGAGCTCTGGCACAGAACATCGCACTACCTAGATCATTCTTTATCTTTTTGTTGAAACAAAACTTCCCAATCTTAACATATGAAATGCAACAGGAACAGGAAAGGTCTACCATTTCCCTGCAATAAGGCCTCCAGGCTTTACTTCAATAAATGTATTCTAGCTCTGTCCTGAAAATGCCAAATAAAATTGCCAAATAAATGCCAAACAAAACTTTCGACTTTGTGCAGTGCATACTTTGCCCATTACATTTCAGATGTAACATCTGGTTCTCCCTAGAGTCCTGCTTTTTACCCAATTTTCCAGCTGGATTGACTGAGGCAAAGGGAGGTCAAGCAACTTGCCAAGGTCAGGCAGTGAGCTAGTGCTTTACTAGGGATTAGAATTTAGGAACTGCCGAACTAATGGAACAAATAGCCTTCATGGTCCAAATCCCACAGGGATAGGCAAGTCACAAAAAAAGGAGAGGATTAACCAAAAGGGGACTTGTCCGCTTGGGTAAGCAAAAGATGCCCAATACAGAAGAAATACAAACACTTTCAAGTTGCTGAACCATAATCCCAGGACCGCGGATGCTTGTGTGCCAAATGTTTGGGGAGGATTTTAATGACTGGTAAGTGTGTGGTTAATATTTGAAGCCCCTGAAGCAGAGAAGGCCCGTGCATCTATATTTCAAAAGAATCAGAACAGAGCCAAATCTCCAGCCACCCCACCCCATCTTGTTTAAAGAAGCTCGGTTCATCACACTGCAAAGAAAGCCTCCTTATTTTCCACGGAGGGGTGTCAACTGTGCTCCATGCAAAAGGTAAACAAATATTACAAGGCTGCCTGCCTCTCACCAGCAGCACATTTGAAACCAATGTCACCATTCTAGTTACAGAGCAAAAATGGAAACTGTCTGTTTTGATTTAAATCTGTCCCTAAGCAATTTCCATGAGTTAACGCGGCAGAAGTGCAAGTACAAGAACAAATAAACAAAGAAAGCCAGGCAGCTTCCTAAGCAACTAAACATTTCCAACGGGACATTCAACCTCCCCAGTTGCACTAATCTTAATGATCAATAAAGGGGCGGGTGACACTAATTTTACTACTGGATTGGAGAGTGGGGCATGAAAACGCTAATTAAAAGTCAATTGCATACCTGAGTTCAAGTCTGCTTATGATTCATACACTTATTGCTGCAGTTCACATTGAAATGACAAAGAGCATTATAAGATGGCAGGAGGGCCTTTATGTCCCCTGGCTGTTCAAGAGTCTCTTCTTGCACTTTCTTAACGATGCCAGAATGACTCAGTTTCATTTTGCAGTTTTCACTTGCATTAAATAGACAAGAGATATGGACAAACAGCCACAGGGAGTTTTTAAGGAAGGCAAAAATAAGGTAAAGGAAAAAAATATTTTTGGATATGTGCAAGAAAAATGGACCTCAGAACTTTGGGCTCCTCCAGATGACCTGTTTCTTAAGCATTTACTCTGATGCACAAAGCTCATGCAGAGATTATATGATGTATGCTCTTTATTGAGAATTTATTCTGATTTGTTTGCAGGAAGGTTATATGACAATAACGCCTATCCTTATTTCACTCTGATTTAGGGTTGCCATGAAGATTCGGACACAAAGGTTGTTGAGCTTTATTTGCAAGATCGCGAAGAAATTGCTTGCAGCCACAGCATTCCGTATATGGACACACTTTGGAATGCATTTCCCCATCACTTTCCTAACTGCAAAACAAATTAAAAACAACAGTGATCTTGTTACTACAGAGCAATTTTATCCAATTTAATTGCACAAACCTAAATCTACAGTATGTGATAGAATCCCTTCCACAAAATGGCGACAGCTGGAGGTGACCTTTGTCTTTGTAGCCTAACCCTAACCCAAAAAACCCAAGCCTGCTGGAATTATTTCCAGAGGAGCAACCATGTTGTAGCAAAACTCAACTAAAAACTTGTGGCAATTTAATAACTATCACATTTATTATGTTCAGGGAAGTTTTTAATGTTTGATGTTTTGTTGTGTTTTTAATATTTTGTTGGGAGCCACCGAGAGTGGCTGGGGCAACCAAGTCAGATGGGCAACATATAATAATAATAATAATAATAATAATAATAATAATAATAATAATGGTGATGGTGGTGGCATAAGCTTTCACAGACTAGAAAACACTTCACTGGATGCATGAAATGGTACCCCAAGTTGAGGGGGGACAGAGAGACATGTTAGCAGTGCAAGGCAAAAAAAAAAAAAAATGTAGACTGTAATAATTGCCTGTTGGAGCTATTGCAGGGCATAGAAAAGAGTTCAGTACTGGGCGAAAGGGATGACCTTATTTTGATGTTATTATTATTTTATTATTATTATTTATTTAATTTATACGCTACCCTATACCCGGAGGTCTCAGGCTGGTTGGTTAAAGCTGAAAAAAGGAAAGATTGGGGGCAACTCAGCTGAACATCCTGCATTACCTTGTAAGGAGTGTGTGTTCTGTCTATTACATGAACCAAGCAGGGGCGTCTTGCCCACAGAGGCAAGTGGCGCAGGATGCCAGGGTGCCAAGTTTTTTTTTTAAAAAATAAATATTTATTAAGGTTTTACAAAAAACATAGGTTTACAGAATAGAGAAAATTAAAACAAAAATTATCAAACTAAAAAGCACACATAGGAAAGAGGAAGAAAAAATATACAAAATGCAAAAAAACCTAATAGCTAAAAAGAAAATTTTTAAAATAAATCCATTTTTCAATATCTTTAGGCTCGTTTCCTTATTTCCTTGACCTCCTCACACCTCCCCTTTTTGTATTCCCGTTTAGAAAATCATTTCAGCAAATCCTTACCCTCTTTCATTTATCTTTACTCTATATCTTAACCTATTATAACTATATATTTTCATCCATTATCGATCTGTATTTGCATATTCTTGTTAATCTTATTACCAATACCACTTATTTCAATCCAACATCATTTTAACATTCATTAATTTTACAGTATTTCTGCAAGTGGTCTTTAAATTTCTTCCAATCTTCTTCCACCAACTCTTCTCCCTGGTCTCGGATTCTGCCAGTCATTTCTGCCAATTCCATATAGTCCATCACAGGGTGCCAAGTTTTGGAGGGCGCCCCCAGGAAGAGGTGGAGGCTGGACACGGCGCCTCCCGGCATCAGCTTGCTGCCCTTGCCCGCCTTGCCATGCTGCAATGAAGCAGCGTCGCGCCCAGAGCCTCCGCCTCTTCCCCGCTGGAGGGGCCACCCTCCAGCCGCTGCTTGCCTCCTCCAGCCCTGCAAAGCTGTCAGCAGAACCATAAAAAGGTCGGCAACTCTGGGTCGGCAACAGGGGGGGGGCACTGAAGGGATCTTTGCCCCACGGCGCCGGATATACTTAAGACGGCCCTGGAACCAAGGCACAAAACCAATTTATTGCAGAGGATTGTGAAAGAGCCTACAAGTTAGCCCCCTGTGACTCACCTCAGCCCTTAGTCTAAGAATCAGAAACAGCCTAGAATGAAGGAAGGCAGCTATTACACTGAAACTTGCATCTAAAAGCAGACCTCTTCCCTTTCCACAGCAAACGAGATGTGTCTGGTGCACCCCACAGCAGCAGGAGGCAGGTCACGTGGGCAGGCAGGCGGGCAAGTAAACTTTGGCAGCCTCACCTTCTACAACCAAAAGTCTCATGCTGCCTTGCTTCAAACCCAGAACAAGAAATAAAAATAATCCACATGACAGCAAGTCTGAGAAGGAAACACATATTGAATAAAGGGAAACTGACAAGTGTAAACTACTCAGTTTCTCAAATATTTAGGCTGCAACCCTAATCCCATGTAAGTGGGACAATGGGAGTAAACCCCAATGAATTGAATGGGACTTACCTCTGAGTAGACATGGTTAAGTCTGCGCTGTAAATTGCTGTGAAATTGGCATTTTAAAAATAGGCTGTGTGGGAAAACTGATGGGGAAGATGAGGGAGGGCATTCTGCCTGTGTGCTTTTAACCAAACTAACAGCTCTTCAAATACAGTGGTACCTCGGGCTACATACGCTTCAGGTTACAGACTCCGCTAACCCAGAAATAGTATCTGGGGTTAAGAACTTTGCTTCGCACGGCGGCGCAGCAGCAGCAGTGGGAGGCCCCATTAGCTAAAGTGGTGCTTCAGGTTAAGAACAGTTTCAGGTTAAGAACGGACCTCCGGAGCGAATTAAGTACTTAACCCGAGGTACCACTGTACACGGCTAGATTGCACAACCAGAACCTTTCCTTCTTGCCAAAGGAAGGAGCTGCGGTTGGCTGAGCGCCCCTCTTGAGCGACCGCCATTTAAAGCAGTCCCTCTCTGGAGCCTTTTTGCGCACTGCTCATCGTCTCTCCACTGCCACCTCCAGCCCCTGCCATTCACAAGACCCAGGACCCACAGTTGGCTGAGTGCCCCTCTCGAGCAGCTGCCATTTAAAGCAGTCCCTCTCTGGAGCCTTTTTGTGCACCGCTCATCGTCCCTCATTCATTTTTTTCTCTTCAAAATATAGTCCGGCTCCCCACAAGGGACAGTAGACCGGCCCCTTGCTGAAAAAGTTTGAGGACTCCTGGTACTCTCTTGGTTGCTGTTTTTAAAAGGCTACAGAGGCATAATTTAGCTAAAACTGTGAGGAGTCAAAGGTGGGCTTTATGGACGTAATTAAGGGCCCTCTATCTTCTGCCCCACAATGTGAGCAGCCTACCTGGTTCTCTCTACCACAGACCACTCACCATATTTGCACCATCCTGGCTTCTCTTCACCAGGACTTGATGGTGTCTTGTTGGGTATCTTGTCGCTGCTGGGTTTTCCCAGTAGATACCAATTCTGAAGCTGACCGGACACAGGTTAGAGCTCAGTGTCGAGCCTACCAAGTGGCGGTAGCGACAGCGAAGAAGGCTTTCTTCGCCGCCTCTATTGCATCTGCAGAAAACAGCAGCAGGAGACCTTTTCAGGTGGTCCGCAATTTAGCGGAACCACCTGCTACATCGGGGCCCAGTACGGGCCACATGATCTCCTGCAATGATTTTGCAAAGTTTTTTGCAGATAAAGTCGCTCAGATTCGGGAAGAGGTAGACGCCACCGTGGGAGCAGGGCCAGGGCGGGAGAGTGCTAGAGTCCTGTCTAGTCAAATTGCGTGGGATCAATTCCAATCTGTTACCTCCGAGGATGTGGACAGGCTGCTTGGACGAGTGAAACCAACCACCTGTCTCCTGGATCCTTGCCCATCCTGGCTTATAAAAGCTAGCCGGGAAGGGCTGGGCGATGGGCTTCGTGGGGTGGTGAATGCTTCCCTCCGTGAGGGAGCCTTCCCAGACCTGTTGAAAGAGGCGGTTATTAAACCGCTTCTTAAAAAACCATCTTTAGATGCGGCCACGATGGCCAACTATCGCCCAGTCTCAAATCTTCCATTCTTGGGCAAGGTGATTGAGTGAGTGGTTGCTGAACAACTCCAGGCACGCCTGGAAGAAGCGGACCATTTGGATCCCTTCCAATCGGGATTCAGGCCTCATCACGGGACTGAAACTGCCTTGGTCGCACTGGTTGATGATCTCCGGCGGGCTAGGGACAAAGGTGAGAGCTGTTTCCTAGTTCTGCTGAATCTCTCAGCGGCATTTGATACCATCGACCATAACATCCTTCTGGACCGTCTTGAGGGGCTGGGAGCTGGGGGTACTGTCATACAGTGGTTCCGCTCCTTCCTCCTGGGCCGTGTTCAGAAAGTGGTGGTGGGGGATGAGTGTTCAGACCCCTGGGCTCTCACTTGTGGGGTGCCTCAGGGTTCTGTCCTCTCCCCTATGCTTTTCAACATCTACATGCAGCCGCTGGGAAAGATCATCAGGGGGTTTGGGCTGGGTGTTCATCAGTATGCAGATGATACCCAGCTCTACCTTTCTTTCAAATCAGAACCAGTGAAGGCGGTGACGGTCCTGTGTGAGTGTCTGGAGGCGGTTGGAGGATGGATGGTGGCAAACAGATTGAGATTGAATCCTGACAAGACAGAAGTACTGTTTCTGGGGGACAGGAGGCGGGCAGGTGTGGAGGATTCCCTGGTCCTGAATGGGGTAACCGTGCCCCTGAAGGACCAGGTGCGCAGCCTGGGAGTCATTTTGGACTCACAGCTGTCCATGGAGGCACAGGTTAAATCCGTGTCCAGGGCAGCTGTGTACCAGCTCCATCTGGTACGTAGGCTGAGACCCTATCTGCCCGCGGACTGCCTCGCCAGAGTGGTGCATGCTCTGGTTATCTCCCGCTTGGACTACTGCAATGCGCTCTACGTGGGGCTACCTTTGAAGGTGACCCGGAAACTACAACTAATCCAGAATGCAGCAGCCAGACTGGTGACTGGGAACGGCCGCCGAGACCATATAACACCGGTCTTGAAAGACCTACATTGGCTCCCAGTACGTTTCCGAGCACAATTCAAAGTGTTGGTGCTGACCTTTAAAGCCCTAAACGGCCTCGGTCCAGTATACCTGAAGGAGCGTCTCCACCTCCATCATTCTACCCGGACACTGAGGTCCAGCACCGAGGGCCTTCTGGTGGTTCCCTCACTGCGAGAAGCCAAGTTACAGGGAACCAGGCAGAGGGCCTTCTCGGTAGTGGCGCCCTCCCTGTGGAACGCCCTCCCACCAGATGTCAAAGAGAACAACAACTACCAGACTTTTAGAAGACATCTGAAGGCAGCCCTGTTTAGGGAAGCTTTTAATGTTTGATGTATCACAGTATTTTAATATTCTTTTGGAAGCCGCCCAGAGTGGCTGGGGAAACCCAGCCAGATGGGCGGGGTATAAATAATAAATTATTATTATTATTATTATTAATACAGTGGTGCCTCGCAAGATGAAATTAATTCGTTCTGCGAGTTTTTTTGTCTTGCGAATTTTTTGTCTTGCAAATCACGGTTTCGGAAAAGTTTTGGAAAAGCTTCAAAAATACCAAAGTCTTCAAAAACCTCAAAAAAGGCTACCACACCGCGTGCTATGAGTTGCTCCTCGAAGTCAAGTCGCAACTGTATTAACGGTGTTAAGAAAAAGGAAACAAACTTGCAAGACGTTTTCGTCTTGCGAAGCAAGCCCATAGGGAAATTCGTCTTGCGAAGCAATTAAAAAAACCAAAAACCCTTTGTCTTGCAAGTTTTTCGTCTTGCGAGGCATTCGTCTTGTGAGGTACCACTGTATTAGTGCTTAAGTCGGTGGACACAAAGTGCGTGTCTCCAAGGCACATGTTCTTCTGGAAAATATAAATGGAGCTGCAGCGTGCCAAAAGCCCAAGCAGGCCATGCTGGTCCAAAAGTTGCCAAGACAGGCGGTCAGGTTATAATTGTAGCTGAAGTTCTGATACCACAAACTGGAAAGAAAAGCGCCAATTATTTTTAATTATTAATGCTCTTGTCTTTCTTCTGGAAAAAACATGGGAGCTAGTGTGGTGTAGTGGTTAAGAGCGGTAGTCTCGTAATCTGGTGAACCGGGTTCGCGTCTCCGCTCCTCCACATGCAGCTGCTGGGTGACTTTGGGCCAGTCACACTTCTCTGAAGTCTCTCAGCCCCACTCACCTCACAGAGTGTTTGTTGTGGGGGAGGAAGGGAAAGGAGAATGTTAGCCGCTTTGAGACTCCTTCGGGTAGTGATAAAGCGGGATATCAAATCCAAACTCCTCCTCCTCCTCTTCTTTTTCTTCTTCTCATATTCTGCATATTGATTCACTTTATACTACAGGCATGTTCCATATGAATAACAGCCCTACAGAATGCAGTGAACAGGTATGTCAGGTGCTGTAGCATCAATTGCTAGACTAGTGCTAACTAATTTAATTTAATAAATGATGCTATTAAATTTTTATCTTAAAGATACTGATTCCCCAGTGACTCGGAGAAGCGTGCCCTAAGTGGATTCCCTACAGGGAATTGAACTGCATTCCTCAAGGTAGTTACTCTAGTGTGAGCCCATCAAAATCTGTGGGACTACTTCAGATATAACCGGATTGAGGACTGAAACATAATTCCCTTTAGGATCAAAGTGCCAATCAGACAGCCTGTAACAAGTGCTGAATTTGATGCGTAGGTTCTACAATAATTGACATATGCAAATTTCATATGTAGGAGATAGAGATGCTCACTAAAGGGTAAGTAATAGAGTATTTCTCCGAAGCATCTCAGAGGTTAAGCCCATAGCAAGGGAAGAATGAGAAATATATATTAATGTCATTCTAGCCACTGCTTTTAGATACATTTGTGCATTTATTTTATACAGTTACATGCTGAAGCTTTGCCATTGCTTGGTACTTTTACTAACCTTTTAGCAACTCCCCATTAGCTACAGTTATTTGACATTAAGCGAAAATTAAGGTGTTCTTATCACCTGTGTCTAATATATCTTTTTTTCTAAATAAATCTGTTGGAGCTTCTTACATCATGGTGAGGATGGGGTGGTAGGGTGTGTTGAATTTTTCAAATTCCAAATTCCCAAAATGAAGGGTGCTAAAAACTTGTAACATGACTTGGGAATTCAAAAGGTGTTTTGGTTAAATCAATATACAGTGGTACCTCGGGTTACATACGCTTCAGGTTACATACGCTTCAGGTTACAGACTCTGCTAACCCAGAAACAGTACCTTGGGTTAAGAATTTTGCTTCAGGATGAGAACAGAAATCGGGCGGCGGCAGCAGCGGGAGTGGTACCTCACTTAGCTAAAGTGGTACCTCAGGTTAAGAACAGTTTCAGGTTAAGAACAGACCTCCAGAACGAATTAAGTTCTTAACCCGAGGTACCACTGTATTTGGTTTACCTGGGTGACCCACGCACCACTTGCTCAACACACAGAGCTATTCACACAAGCTTTGTGTGTTTTTCTTTCCAAAGGGACAGGGTTATGCATCAGTGGGGAACTATTAAATGAAAAATGAAAATTCTAAAAATGTTGAATGCATGAAGTGTTGCTTATGTCTTAAGTGTAAAATATGAGTGCAACAGAGAGAAGCAAGTTAGAGTTAAATTAGCCACAGTTTAAAAGCCAGAGAATATTACTGAGCCAGAGAATGACTACCTCTCTCCCTTTAAATCCCCTGTCAGGGTACCTGGGTGCCAGGTTCCCCAATACATCAGGTTGTCTGGCACTTTCGTCGGTGGGAAACTGTTTTCCATACTAAACCTGTATAATAAAACATGAAGAGCCTTGTAGTATATGTGGACTTCACTGCAGGTTGTCAATTTTTAAAAAAGTGTAGATAGAATTTTAGAGATTAATAAAGCATTTTGAATGACTCAAATGTGCAACAGTTTGTTGATGTGAAAGTTCACTAGGATATATGTAGGCTCCCCCCCATTGCTTCCCCCCCCTCTCAATTTCAAGTCCCGCAACTGTAAATTAAACCACTTATTCACTCTGACAGGCAGGCAGCAGAACACAGATATAGTAATCTGCCAGTCTAGAATCTGGTATGCATTGGGAGTCTTGAAATAGATCTCAGCAGGCTGAACACTGTGCACCCACCCATTTTACAATACTGTGATTACAGCAGGTAGGTGGTTCAAATAACTCTGCATTTCAGATATGCAGGAGTCCAGTGTAATGTGTAGCATGATTTACTCAGGTTTGTCAGGATGCATGCTGTAATAGCATGGTTGGTGCAATGTCCCACTGGCTTGTCTTTCATGCTTTTTGATCTCCAGACCTTTATGAAAGCGATATCTTAGCAAAACTGTTTTGGAGAGGAATAGGGAGAATGGCACTAGTTGGGGCATAGCACCTTTTATTGTGCTCTGCTTACAAACTGAAAGGTGCTGGGTTCTGAAAAACACACCAGTTGCCGTGGAAGTGCTCACTCCTTTTCACAAGCACTTGTTTTGCTTCAGTTAGCAGGGTAAGGCAGGCTCGAAGGAACTCCTTTCTCTAGATTGCTTCAAATGTTTCAGGCAGGGTCAGGCACTGAGAACACAAAGTCTGGTGCATGGCCCAATCTAAGCTTTGATCCCCCCCCCCGCCTGAATCATTTGCATATGTCATAATGCGAATATAGGTTAAAGTACAAATGCAGTATCTGCATTCTATCTATGGGGAACATTTGTATATTATCCAATTTCTGACCAAAATGAATTGTTACTACCAAATTGGGTGTACCTGAAAAGTACGACTCTCCATTTTCCTGCTTATCACATCTTCTCTAAAGAAACAAACATGCATCAGGGTAAGCAACACGGTGCCCTCTAGCTGTTGTTGGACAACAACTCTCATCAATTCACATTTCCATCCAAAGGTATTTACATATCCTTATGTGGGCCCAGGATCCCCACAATATACAAGCGAGCCAAGGGCAGACTTTGGTAATCTTTCATAATATGGTGCTCTGTGTGAAGCCAAAATTTAGCTTTGCTGTGTTTTATTTGCATTTTAAATTCTTCTTCTTCTTCTTCTTTTTCTTCGTCTTCGTCTTCATCTTCTTCGGTGATCACTTGCAGCTGAGTAAGATTGTCTTCAATAAACACGGTTTTAACAGTGAGTCTGTAAGTGACTGTGGAGGCCAATTCCGGATCCACACGTCCTTCCATAGTGGGGACATTGGTTTCTGGGCAGGAGTTGATCATGGTGTGGATTTGCCAAGCGTGCCCTCCTCTTAGCACGTTTCTCCCTTGTGTCCTGAGTTCGAGTGTCTTCAAAGCCCATGACACCTTTGGTAAAGACTGTTCTCCAACTGGAGCGCTCGCAGGCCAGTGTTTCCCAGTTGCCAGTGTTTATACTACCTTTTTTTAGATTTGCCTTGAGACAGTCTTTAAACCTCTTTTGTTGACCACCAGCACTACGCTTTCCATTTTTAAGTTCAGAATAGAGTAGTTGCTTTGGAAGATGATAATCAGGCATTCGTACAACATGACCAGTCCAACGAAGTTGATGTTGAAATTAGTGAGTTGGCTTCACATCTTGAAACCCTTGCTTGAGACAGTCCTGTCCCACATAGAATAGAGGCATATAAAGAAATGTGTGAAGAAGTGGACAGGGAGAGTTTTGTCTCCCTCTCTCATGATACTAGGTCCCAGGGTCATTCATGAAACGGAATGGTGGGAAATCCAGAACTTCACACAGTACATAGTGAAACTGTGGAGCTTTCTTCCACAAGACATGGTGAGAGTTGTCAGCTTAGATAGCCTTAAAAGGGAATTAGACAAATTCATGGCAGTAAAAGCTATCACTGGTTACCAGCATCCCTCTGAAAGCCAGTCACCAGGAAACAGAAAAAGAGCTCTTACCCTCATACTGCTGGAATAGATAGGCTTCTGGTCAGATCCAGCAGGGATTTTCATTTTAGCTCAGTGGGACTTACACTCGAATAAGTGTGCATAGACTTACAGCCTGACCACTATTGGGGAGAAATATTTCCAATTTCTAAAAATAAAAATTAATGTGTGTGGTCAGGCCACAGTTTGGTAAAACTCATGTTTTAAACTCTATAGTCAGTTATAGTGTTTAATACTTAAGCTATGACAGGGAAGTCATTTATGCTATGTTTTTCTTCCATAAACCTTTCTTTTCTTTGATGACAGTCTCCATGGAAAAAAGCTGTGTACACGTCTAACAGTTTTTATCTGTTCTTAACAGAATACAGGGAAGAGGTGTACAGTTCTGTGGTTTAGAAAGTCAACTTAAGTAAAGAGGAAAGGTATGTGTCTGAATGTGGACCGAGTATGTGGACTGAGAACTCCCAGAAGTGCAAGCTGGATTTCGAAGGGGCAGAGGAACCAGAGACCAACTTGCAAACATGCGCTGGATTATGGAGAAAGCTAGAGAGTTCCAAAAAGACATCTACTTCTGCTTCATTGACTATACAAAAGCCTTTGACTGTGTCGACCACAGCAAACTATGGCAAGTTCTTAAAGAAATGGGGGTGCCCGATCACCTCATCTGTCTCCTGAGAAATCTCTATGTGGGACAAGAAGCTACAGTTAGAACTGGATATGGAAGAACTGATTGGTTCAAAATTGGGAAAGGAGTACGGCAAGGCTGTATATTGTCTCCCTGCTTATTCAACTTATATGCAGAATTAATCATGCGAAAGGCTGGGCTGGATGAATCCCAAGCCAGAATTAAGATCACCGGAATAAATATCAACAACCTCAGATATGCAGATGACACAACTTTGAAGGAAGAAAGTGAGGAGGAATTAAAGAACCTTTTATTGAGGGTGAAAGAGGAGAGCGCAAAATACGGTCTGAAGCTCAACATCAAAAAAACGAAGATCATGGCCACTGGTCCCATCAGCTCCTGGCAAATAGAAGGGGAAGAAATGGAGGCAGTGAGAGATTTTACTTTCTTGGGCTCCATGATCACTGCAGATGGTGACAGCAGTCACAAAATTAAAAGACACCTTCTCCTTGGGAGAAAGGCGATGGCAAACCTAGACAGCATCTTAAAAAGCAGAGATATCACCTTGCCAACAAAGGTCCGTATAGTTAAAGCCATGGTTTTCCCAGTAGTGATGTATGGAAGTGAGAGCTGGACCATAAAGAAGGCTGATCGCCGAAGAATTGATGCTTTTGAATTATGGTGCTGGAGGAGACTCTTGAGAGTCCCATGGACTGCAAGAAGATCAAACGCATCCATTCTTAAGGAAATCAGCCCTGAGTGCTCACTGGAAGGACAGATCGTGAAGCTGAGGCTCCAATACTTTGGCCACCTCATGAGAAGAGAAGACTCCCTGGAAAAGACCCTGATGTTGGGAAAGATGGAGGGCACAAGGAGAATGGGACGAGAGAGGACGAGATGGTTAGACAGTGTTCTCGAAGCTACAAACATGAGTCTGACCAGACTGTGGGAGGCAGTAGAAGACAGGAGTGCCTGGCGTGCTCTGGTCCATGGGATCACGAAGAGTCGGACACGACTAAACGACTAAACAAAAACAATGTGTCTGAAATGATCCCAGTTTTACTTCTTCTTCTTTTTTCTTTTTTCTTTTTTTTTAATATTTTATTAAGGATTTTCTTGTTTTACAGAAGTGTAGTGCCTCGTTTTTTGTTTGTTTTTTCCCTTTAACATTTTTACAAATCCATTTCATTTGTTGAGGCATTAGGGGGAGAAGAAAAAAGAAAGAGAGAAGAAAGGGGGGGGTGGAGAGAGGGAAGATGGATGGGGGTGGGGTCGGGTGGCGGTGTTTCTATTATGTTTAATGTGTGTAGAGTTTGGTGTCAGCGTTATTTGTGTCGTTCACTTGTGTTCCTTTGGTGGTGAGAGAGGTTGGGGTTGGCCTAGGGTGTGATTGTGGTTGGCTGTGGTGATCTTTGTTTTCGTGTGTGAGTGAGGTGGGTGGGTGTTTTGGATCAGGTTAGCCATATTGATTTGTATGCTGTTGGTGGATTATTGTCATTGTCCTGTTGGGCTGTGTGTGTGATAAAGGGGAGCCATACCGGGGTGAAGGTGTCTTCTTCTGTTTGTCCCCGTGTCAGTTTCAGTTTATTAGTTAATTTTTCTAGTAGGGCTGTTTCCCATACTGTTTGGTACCATTGGTCCATGCTTACTCCTGACAGGTCTCTCCAGTGTCTGGTTATGGTATTTCTGGCTGCTGAGAGCAGGTGGGTTATGAGTTCTTTGTGGTGTAAATGGGCATTGTTGTCTTGGAAGATGTTTAGTAGGGCCAATTCTGGGGTGATGTCTATTACTTGCTTAGTTATTGTACATATTTCTTGTATGGTTGTCGTCCAGAATAGTTGGATTTTGGGACACTCCCACCACATGTGGAGGTATGTGCCTATGGAGGTGCACCCTCTCCAGCATTTTGGTGAGGTTCCTGGGTGTATTAGCGCTAGTTTCCTTGGTGTTAGGTACCACCTGTAGGTGAGTTTCAGTGTGAGTTCTTTTCTTTTCGTTGATATGGATTTAGAGGGGGGTTTAGACCACATTCTGGTCCATTGAGTGGGGTTAATCTCATAGCCTATGTCATTCTCCCATTGTTTTTTGATTGCGTCTAGGGGATTTGCGGGATTTTGGAGTAGTATTTTGTATATTGCGGATACTGTCCCTTTACCATTTCCCTTTGTTGTTAGGAGGAGGTTTTCGAAGGTTGTCAGGGGCCTAGTTGCTGCTGATTTTACTGTTGGGTTGTTTAAGAGGGCATGTAGTTGGTGTTGTGTTAACCAGGGCATTTGGGTGTCTTCTAGTTTGTCTTGTATTTCTTGTGTTGACAGGGGTTTGTTATTTTTATAAAAGTCTATTAGGCGATATAAGCCTTTGGCTCGCCAGGTTTTTATTTGGAGGTTTTGTGCTGCATGGTGGAATAATGGGTGGTACGCCAGGGGGATTAGTGGGGATGGGGTTGGGGATAGTTTGCCTATTTGTGTTTTCCATGCTTTGAGCATGGTCTGTGTGTACCTGTTAAGTGTTGTGGGAATTTTCTTTAGTTTGTTTGGGAGGAGTGGGTATGTTGTGGTGCAGGTGTTTTCAATTGTGTCCCTCTCTAGGTGTACCCATTGTTTTGTCTCATCTTCTAGTATATATGGGATTATATGGCGTATTTGGTTGGCAATGTAATATGCTTCTATGTTGGGGATTCCCCATCCTCCTTCTGAGGTGGGGAGGTGTAGGTATTTGGGGCTTATTCTTGGTTTTTTATGTGAGAAGATGAAAGAGTGTAGTTTTCTCTGCCAACTGCGAAGTTGGGTTGAGGGGATCCAGATTGGGAGGGTTTGGAATAGGTAGGTTAGTTTTGGGAGTGTGATCATCCCAGTTTTACTTCTATGGGTTGAATCTATAGGCTGTCCAGACTGAATGAAAAGAGTGAGACGATGGAAGCTTTCTTGAGTTTGGTGCCATTGTGAAATCTTCTTAACCTATTCCTGTTTGTTATTGTTAAAAGTCACAGCACCCAGAGTGGTGTCTAGAATTATGGGAGGCTGCTCACAAGAGAAATATGGCTTCAGCTATGGCTCAATATAGGGCCACATATACAGAGATTGGGAATCTCTTTCAGACTGAGGGCCACATTCACTTCTGGGGAACTTTCTGGGGGCTACATGGCACTGGTGGTTGGGGCAAATGACAAAAGTGGGCATGGTCAGAGAGAAAGGTTAGCAGAGCAGAAATTGTGAATTTTGGCCTTCCCACTCACACGTCCCTCTCTGCACTTCATCCATGCAAGCAAGAAGTATCAAGAACACATTCCAAGCATGTAAAGGCACTCAAAGAGAGTGCAAAGCAGAGGTGGAGGGGTGTGTGGCTCTGGAGAGGGTAAGCCCTGGGGGCCTGAGGTTCACCTTCCTTGATTTACAACCTCTGTATGTCACTTTTCCTTAAAAGTCCAAGGTTAACAATTCAAACACACACACACACACCATACAATATCACAACTGAAAACAGAGGTAAAAGCCTATAAGCCAAAATAAAGCATAATTGACCAGAGACAACATCAGAATAAAACAAAATCATTAAAGATATATATGATCATTTAGAATAAGAGCTGGCTAACCCCACAGGAGTCAGCTAGCAAAGTCTGTTTGGGACTGCTACTTTAGTGATGAGTGGTATTTGTTTTGCATAAAAATGGAGAGGCAAAATTGCTATCCATAATTTCTGGGGGATAATCTAAGGCAGCTACTTGGGGGGGGGGGAATCTCATGCTGTTACCAGGCTCAGAAAAACTTTAGGAAATCTCATGAATGACACACTCAGCCATGCTAGAGTGTAAAAATGTTAGTGACATCAGTTCCCAGCAGTTACACCAATCCTTGACAGTATTTTATCTTTTTTGTTTTTGTTTACCTAAGTGCAACTTTTGTGCCCATTTGTATACTTTTCCCCTGTGAACTTAGTGTGTCTTGTCTTGCCACCTTTTATTCTTGTGCATCAACTGACTATAATTTTGGTATTTTCATGTCACCTCTTTCCTTTCACCTCCAGCTGCCAAGGAAAATTAGTACTTAGCTCCAGCATACCTGTGTTCCTTCACAGTGGTGTTTAATGGATAGCAAAGGCCGGTGGCTTGAAAATGACTCTCAGTTCAAAATTGCTGCTGACAAGGAATCAAAGCTCTATGCATGTGCATAAATAGCAAGGGGAATAAGTCTGCTAATGCCAGCATCTTACAGCATAGAGAGACTGTGAGATGGCCTGAGTATAAGGATGATTCTTGCAGTCAGATGCTGATACAACCTTTTTTCACACGGCATAAAAACATATCTTCTAGAATATCGACAACTGCATTTAGACAAGGAGACTCCCGGCATCCCCATTGGATGCCTAAGTGTTTATAGCCATCACAGTGTTCTTGTTTATGGCCTGTGGTTTTGTAAATTCTTCTCTGTAATTTCCATACTGAAGGCCTACTCTCAGGTCTGCATATATTTACATGTTTTACTTGTAAGCTTTTAAGCATCAAATTATACAAAATAGAGGTGAGACCTCTGCCAGTTGAATCTTTGTCTTATTGTTTCCATTGTGCCGGGTTTCGGCAAGATAAATAAATAAGTAAGGATGCAAATTGGTATGAAATACATGACAGCTCGCGTTCCACAGGTTCGTGTTTTATGACATTGCTGGCCCATAGCCACTTTAGCTATTTCATTGTCTGAAGGATGTCCTTGATTTGCTCTCGTTGCCAGTGTAATGACAAGGCTGTGCAGTCTGTGCATACACTGCTGTCAGATGAGTAGCTCTTGCTCTTTTGGCATCCTCAGGGTACAAGATGGAATGCACAAGGGGAGTTGGTGGCAAAGTGCTACCAGCTTTGTTTGGGCAGGACTGAGCCTTCAGGCCTTCGCTGGAGCTCTCTCAAAATCATTCTAGTACCTTTCCAGAGGCCATTTGCAAGTCAAAAAAGTTGGCGTGTGTGGCTTTTCTGCAATTTTTCCAGAGAACAGGAGAAGAATCACGTTTTAGGACTGTGAGCAGACCTTTACTTGGAGCAGATCCAGAGTGACACTGTGGTTTGTTGCTAACTTTTACTCAGAGTAGACCATTGAGAGTCATGGGCCTAATTTAGTCAGGCCCATTGCTTTCGATGCGTCTGCTCTGAGTAGGAGTAATACTGTACAGTGGTACCTCTGGTTAAGAACTTAATTCGTTCCGGAGGTCTTAACCTGAAACTGTTCTTAACCTGAAGCACCACTTTAGCTAATGGGGCCTCCTGCTCCCGGCGTGCCGCTGCTGCATGATTTCTGTTCTCATCCTGAAGCAAAGTTCTTAACCTGAGGTAATATTTCTGGGTTAGTGGAGTCTGTAACCTGAAGCGTCTGTAACCTGAGGTACCACTGTATTGAATATTGTCATGCATGATGATGTAACACCATTCAGAGGAAGCATTGTGGGAAAGACATAGCCGCTAGGCAATTTGGAGGAGCAAAATGCAGAGCGATAATCATTTTGTTTTTTAAGGCGAAGTCCTTTTTTATGGTAAGAGGATTAAGACAACAAATGGAACCTGGTTAGCTTTGCCGTGGGCTGACACTCATCAGCTTGTGGTAACACAGAGGTGGGCTTTTTGACTTGCGCAGCCAGTGTTGTGGAATGCTCTCTCTGCTGAAATATAAAAGGCCTTATTGGTACTGGCATTCATACTAGAATCATACCAGCTCCTGAAGACACACCTGTTTAAACAAGCATTGTCCTGATCTTCTGATTTGAACCTGCTGCTTTAATTGCTGTTTTTACCATTTTAATTGGTAGGCTGTTTTAATGGGCTTGTTTATTGTACATTTTAATTGTGGATACTTATTAATGTAATGGTTTTATTATGTGTTGTAATTATGTGCAGCTATTTTAAAATTAATTAATAAATAATTTCCGGGTAAAGCTCTATGTCCCTTAAAACATTTTGTAATTCTTCTCTTCCTGTCTGCAGACGGATTGCCTGTAGTGTTCACCCTTTTTTTTTTTACCCAATGCCTATTGAAAGTCTGCAAAAAAAGGATCACAGTAGAACTTTCAGCCCAGCAGATTTCAACACTAATTTCAATTTGAAGGTAAATATAAAATGAAAGGAAATATAGCAATAACAAAAATCTGTCCATAACTCTTATTTTCACAATAACAATCCATCTCTGTCTCATTCATACCTAATTTAGATCCTGAAAATTGCAGCGTGGGATGCCAGCTCTTCAATATTTCTGTAATTCCTAGCATTTCTTAGAAACACAGTTAATTTAACAAGCTTAATTTGTTCTCATAGCATATACAATAATTTCTATTAATGGCAAATCAACATGTTGATCCAAATGAATGAAGACAGTTAAGGACACCGTTACACATCAATATCATGGCCACAACCAGACTCAAGTAAAATCGTATAATGAAGCTGCATGAGAGCGTTTGACTTCATGTTGACCAAACAGAAGCCAAGAATGAATATGCTTCCTTCCCTTGACTTTCCATATGATACTGTGAGAGGCTTTGGAAAGTGAAGGCAGGCAAAGCCTTTACAAAGTGACATTTCTGTTTCGCACTTTCAAGGAATTCATCCTTAACTGTGATGTGACAGCACCTATACTGTGGAACTCCCTGCCAACTGATATTTCACTGGCACCTTCATTCTAATGTTTTTGACAATTGTTAAAACCTTTTTCATTTAGGTAAGCCTACCTAGACATGAATATTTGATACAGTATCTGCTTTAATATGAAATTTTGTTTTGTTTTACTAAAACAAACAACTGCTCATTTTACTTATTTTTTGGGGGGTGGGGGAGGAAATCAGATTGTTTTTAACATTTGATTTTATCATTCTTTTAAATGTATATTTTATGTAAATGGCTTAGAGGTTTGGATGATGAAGCTGTGTCTAAATCTTGTTAAATATAACAAATAAAATAAATTTGGAAGTAATGCAGAAATCCAATGAAACTTTCCTCTTCAGAGATGTTCTCAATGCCTCAGTATGTAATCAGGAAGCCTCCTGCCAATCCCTGGACCAGTTTTTGAATGATAACAATAAAAGTTTCTGATTTTTTTTTGTTTTTAAAAATTAATATAGTGACTGAAAGCATGTATGCAGACATATTTTCCCCATATTAAAAAGTGGGCATGGAGAAAGGGGCAAGACTCACAACTGAACTCGTGCTTGATTTGTAGATCTGCACAACCATCAATTACCGTATTTTTTGCTCTATAAGACTCACTTTCCCCCTCCTAATAAGTAAGGGGAAATGTGTGTGCGTCTTATGGAGCGAATGCAGGCTGCACAGCTATCCCAGAAGCCAGAACAGCAAGAGGGATTGCTGCTTTCACTGCGCACCGATCCCTCTTGCTGTTCTGGCTTCTGAGATTCAGAATAGTTTTTTTCTTGCTTTTCTCCTCCAAAAACTAGGTGCGTCTTGTGGTCTGGTGCGTCTTATAGAGCGAAAAATACGGTAAATTGTGAAAGAGGGAGACAGTGGGTGTGGCTGAGTGATACACTGTGCACTATCTTTTAAAATATACTGTAGTAAAATGAAATTTTTCAGAGCACCATTAAACGAGTAGAGAAGAAAAGCACTCTATGCCTGCACTGACTCCAGATGCCTACCTTTCACACACGATCCAACTGCCAACCAGTATCTTGGGGGGCTTTCCATAGCAGAGATAAGTCCCATAGCAGGAGGTAGCAAGAGTTCACCCACAGAAATGGGAGACTGCAAATATCACTTTAAAATCAATAGACTAATGCAATGCTCTTTTTGTAACGTTGTGAATAAAATTGAACCACATGTAATAAAGCAAGATGAAAGATATGTCCTAAAATAAATATCCTAAGTTCCCAAAAGAAGAGAATTCTTAGAACAAATAAAGTATTAGAGTTCCCCAAAGGGTTATATGGGGATGCAGGTGGCGCTGTGGGTTAAACTACAGAGCCTAGGACTTGCCGATCAGAAGGTCGGCGGTTTGAATCCCCGTGATGGTGTGAGCTCCCGTTGCTCAGTCCCTGCTCCTGCCAACCTAGCAGTTCGAAAGCACGTCAAAGTGCAAGTAGATAAATAGGTACCGCTCCGGCGGGAGGGTAAACGGCGTTTCCGTGCGCTGCTCTGGTTCGCCAGAAGCGGCTTAGTCATGCTGGCGACATGACCCCGAAGCTGTATGCCGGCTCCCTCGGCCAATAAAGCAAGATGAGCGCCGCAACCCCAGAGTCGATCACGACTGGACCTAATGGTCAGGGGTCCCTTTACCTTTTAAAGGGTTATATGTTTAACAGCAGGGCTGGGGGAATTTGTGGCCCTCCAGATGTTGTTGGACTCTCAACTCCTATCAACCTCACTCACCATGACCGATGGTCAGGGATGATGGGAGCTGTAGTCCAACAACATCTGCAGCTTAGTAGATTTCACTGTTTCATTTCCCTTTTGCACCTAAGTCTTACTGCAACACCTTTGAGCTACTTTTCTTAAAAGTGCCAGAATATCTGCTGTGCAAGTTATCAGCTGACCCTTTGAATACTGTCTCTTCTGTATCTGTAGCTTCAGTTGCAAAGGTCCAATCAGCATCCTGATGCCAAGCAGCGGTCTTGTTTTGTGTTTAGGTATTTCCGACTCCTCCAATGCCACTTCTCCCATATACCAAGTCTAGGATCTCAAAGGAGTTGATGGCTGCCAGCCCTATACAGAGCATCCTAGCAGGATCACGCAAACAGTGCCGTCCTAACCATGCCTGTTCAGAAATAAGTCCTATTTAATGCAATAGGGGTAGACAAATGTGTCAATTTTGGTTCTCTCAGTTACCCATATTTTCCCCAGTCTAACATTCAGTTCTCTACAATTTTGCATCATTTTTTAAAAAATTAATCAACATTTCATTGTGATACATTTTGGTGCACAGTTTTGACAAATATATACATTTTCCAAACAATTTCCCACATGTTACATTCACAAATCTATATGTTTTTGGGCACACTTTTCCCTAGTGTATGTTTTTTTGTAGACACTGTTTGGTTGAAAAACTGCACCACAACATTAGAAGTGTAAATTTCAAAGGATCGTTGTGTTTCAGCTTTTGTATTTCTTTGAGAACTGCAAACTATACATTTTCCCATTCTTACAAGATAAACAAAACTGAATCTGTCCCCCATTCCTACTCCAAGGTAAGTGGAGTTAGGATTGTAGTCAAAATTATTAATCACTACAGCGAACTCACCACAGAAATGACAAACACATTTTAAGCTCAAAATATATAAAAAAATTGTCCAGTAGCACCGTAGAGACCAACTAAGTTTGTTCTTGGTCTAAGCTGTCTGCCATAATCTGACTAAAAAGGGAAACACAAACAGGTTGATTTAAAAATGTATGGTTGGGGGAAAGCAGTAAATTATTATGTATGAGGGTTATGCAAAGTGGGAGGCTGGGCTCCCTCCAAGGGGCTGGCACTTTTCCTGGAACAGCCTGGCATACAAACAGTTAATGCCATCCTTCCCCCCTTCCCTCCCATGTGCTTGCTTTAGGATCCAGCAAGGCTCCAAAATATATTATTGATTTGCCATTGTCATTTATAATCCCAAAATGGCCACTGCCAAGATTTTGCCTTTGACCCCACAAACTCTAAGGTCAGCTATGCAGATTTCAAACTCCAGGAATCAATGAAATTCGTTTTTACAATCAAGCCCTTGTCTGTGCATGTCATCTGAGGCACAGAGTCTAATGAAATACTAACTAAAAAACCAAATGACATCTTTTTAGGGTTTTTCTTCTTCTTCTTTTTAAACGGCACTCATGTATTTTTGAAAAGGTGTGTTATTTTTTCCTTTATAAAGTCCATGGGAAAATAGTTTTTATCTTTCTGTGTCTTCAGGAAAAAAAATCTACCTCAAGAAATTTCTTTAACAAAGAGAACATTATTTCAGACTCTAACATTTCTGTCTGCCTATTATCATTAGTCATAAGCTAAGCCCTGCACTAAATGTCTAGTGAGCACAGATAATGTTCATTTTGTCTGGAAGACAGGTTGCCGCCTGTCAAGGAGAGATGGAATAAATGACAGGTTTGGACTCTGTGCCTTGCAGGCATATTAGGCTAAGAAATCGCCAACATGATGAAAAATTATTTTGTCAAAAATTTGTAGGTCACCCATCATTGTCTAATGTATTCCGTGATTAATTGCTAGCATAGATCAGCATTATGTCTTTCCAGTGAATCGCTTAATTGTTGCCTGCTTCATGCTCTTAATGTAATGATGAGGCATCTGGTCCTTTCACATGTGCTTTCAAATGCCAGCTTTTGCATCCAGGTTACAGGAACAGTAACATTAAACTTAAAGGACTACTTGAAATTAGAACTTCCAGAAACCCTTCTCTTTCTGCCCCTTCTTCTTCATATTTTTATGGCTGTGCACACGGTAGGCTGAGTGTTAGTGTTAATGTATGTAGATTTTATTTCTGACGAGTGATTATTTGACTGCTCATTTTACGAAGATTTATGGTGTGCTTTCTATCTCCTGACTGCAGCGCTACTCTTATCTTTAATAAAAGAGATGAGGACATTAATCAGCCTTTGTCAGGAGTCCTGACTAAGACATTAAATGTACTATATGGGATAGGTAAACACGCTCCAGATCCTTCTCTACTCCAGTAGATCAGGCAAAAAAACACTCATTATATTTATCATAATTTCACATCTGCTGTTTTTGAAGCAATGTACCATGAGGCCATAAACTGTATTACAACTGTGCATAAATTCAACTGATTTGTGGCTGGAGTAACTAATTCCTAAAGTACATTTTAGAAAAACAAGCAGTGAGCCCTGAAATTGCAATTCCATAAAGGCACTAAATTACTGACTGAGGAATCAAGAATTTGCTTGATGTGATTCTGCAGTGACCATTTTATAAAAAGTGACAGTGTGCCTGTGATTGAGTCAATAAAATAAGGACGAATGAGCCATACACTCAAACAAGATTAAAGAGGAAGACAATGACAGAGGACAGACACATGGGATATAAATAGAAGAAAGTGTAATGTTTTCCCCAAAATAGCTTTAGGATGTGACTATTAATAATGTGAACATTAATTTGTCACCGATCATTTAAATGTTTGGCGGTGGTAGGTACTCCTAACACCTTATTTTTAGCTGAGAACAGGTGCAATGATAAGGGATGAGAATGCATGTAATTTATGAGAAAAAGGCTGAAGAAACCTTTTAAAAATATGACACAGAGTTAAACTGCCTGGATGTTAGCATTTGAAAATTGGGATTAACCAGAAAATTGCCTTACTTTACAACTGGATTAAATGGGAGGAAATGTGTGGTCAAATGGATTGCAATAAATAGCCAATATTGGTCTTCTCTTAAAATGAAAGCAGACATAGAATTGCACAGCAGAAATTGGATTTTGTATCTCTACATCAATGTTATGGCTGCCATTCTGATCTTAAGCACACTTGCTTGGAAGGGAATCCCATTGGCTTTGGCGGGATTTGCTTCCAAATAATAGTCCAGATCTCAATCCATTTATGTTTATGAGTGTTTATGAGATGATGAAGATGATGAAGATGATGATGATGATGATGGAATTGGTGTAACGTGGGTCAAAATATCATTGTCATCAATACCTGTTAAAATTAAGGATCACACTTCTATGACAAGGTGGTACCTTACATTTCTGCATGATATTAACCCATCTTCCTCTCCTCTTTGTTGGAGATGGTGCACTAGTATAGTTTCTATGTACCACATGTGGTGTAAATCTAAAAAAATGGTGTATAAACACCAACAACTGGGAAACACTGGCCTGCGAGTGCTCCAATTGGAGAGCAGCCTTTACCAAAGGTGTCATGGGTTTTGAAGACACTTGAACTCAGGACGAAAGGGAGAAATGCGCTAAGAGGAAGACATGTTTAACAAACCCTCACCATGATCACCTCCCGCCCAGAAACCAATGTCCCCACTATGGAAGGACGTGTGGATCCAGAATTGGCCTCCACAGTCACGGACTCACTTTTAAAACCATATTTATGGAAGACAATCTTACTCAGCTATGAGTGATTGTCAAAGAAGAAAGACTTGTGACA